AACCCACACTTCCTGAGCTTGCCTAGGAGGATGTGATGGGAGACAGTGTCCAAAGCCTTGCTGAAGGCCAGGGAGACCACATCCACTGCTCTGCCCTCATCTACCCAGCCAGTCATTCCATCCCAGAAGGCTATCAAATTGGTCCAGCATGATTTCCCTTTGGTGAATCCACGCTGACTATGCCTGATCACCTTCTTGTCCTCCACATGCTTAGTGAGGACCTCCAGGAGGAGCTGTTCCATCAGCTTTCCAGGGAAGGAGGGGAGGCTGACAGGCCTGTCGTTCCCTGGCTCCTCCTTCTTGCCCTTTTGGAAGGCTGGAGTGACACTGGCTTTCTTCCAGTCCTCAGGCACCTCTCCTGATCTCCAGGACCTTTCCAAGGTGATGGAGAGGGGCCTAGCAATAACATCCGCCAGCTCCCTCAGCACTCGTGGGTGCATCACATCGGGGCCCGTGGATTTGTGGATGTCAAGTTTGCCCAAGTGATCTCTAACCTGATTCTCCTCCACCAAGGCAGAGTCTTCCTTTCTCCAGACGTTCTCTCTTGCCCTCAGGGTCTGGAATGCCTGAGGGCTGGCCTTAGCAGTGAAGACTGAAGGAAAGAAGGCATTCAATAACTCTGCCTTCTCTGTATCCTTTGTCACCAGGGCACCCGCCCCATTCAGCAGTGGGCCGACGTTTTCCCTAGTCTTCCTTTTGCTCTTGATGTATTTGAGGAAGCCCTTCTTGTTGTCCTTGACATCCCTTGCCAGATTTAATTCCAAATGGGCCTTAGCCTTCCTCCTCGCATCCCTGCACACTCTGACAACGTCCCTGTATTCCTCCCAAGTGGCCTGTCCCCTTTTCCACATTCTCTGGACTTCCTTCTTCTGTTGGAGTTTTGTCAGGAGTTCCTTCCTCATCCAGGCAGGTCTCCTGCCCGCTTTGCTCGACTCCTTCCTCAGAGGGATGCACTGATCTTGAGCCTGGAGGAAGTGATGCTTACCCATAGGCTCTCAACCTGCTCTCCATCCACCCCGAGGCAGAGCTCCACACATTCTAGTTGCTCCCTCACATAAAGGGCAACTCCACCACCTCGCCTGCCTGGCCTGTCTTTCCTAAAAAGCACATAGCCATCCATGACAGCATCCCAGTCATGTGAACTATCCCACCATGTCTCTGTCACTGCAATGAGATCGTGGCCCTGCGACCGCACACAGATCTCTAACTCTTCCTGTTTATTCCCCATGCTGCGTGCATTGGTGTACAGGCATTTCAGAGAGCCAGTCAAGCATGCAGGCTTCCCAGGAGAGGTGCAAGAGGATCCTCCATAGCCCCCCAGGTTGGGGGAACCCTCTGGAGCTCCTTTTCTCAGAAAGCAGCCATGGCTGCTCAAGGGAAAGAAGGTTTTGGTGACCACGTGGAGTAGCACACAGAGGAAGCAGCAGAGAGACAGTTGCACAGCAAGGCACTGAGAGCTTGCGGCTCAAGCTGGGAGACTGCTGAAAGGACCATTGTTATGGACTCAGGCAAGACTTAGATGATGGAAATAATTTTTCTCACTGGACTCTGCAGTTAATTGCATCTAAAACTCACCTAGTCCATTGAAGCCAAATCTGGAAGCATAATCCCACTTTGCAAGGACACAGTGGGCAGGAACAGGGGTTCTTTATAAATTTATTCTTGTCTCTACTATTGCGTTTAGTCACATAGTTTTTGCTGTTAAGATAGTTATCTTTTAAAAAACATGTTCTAATAAAACCTGGCTCCTCTGAGCCCTTTTTGGGTAAGCTCATCAAATCAGAAAGGTGTAGACATATCCACCTCCAAGCTTTGTTTCACCTGGTAAAGATGTGAACAGACACTTTATGCACATCAGGAATGGAAACTTGCTTTAATCAGGCCATTAAAGCTACCTGGGCTTTGACAGAATGCTCCCTGATCATTACACTAGCATCTGGTTCAGCAGTCTCACATGTAGGAGGGCGCTATTCCACCATGGCAAAAATTCTGTGCATAGTTCTAGTAAACTAAATATTCCCATCTATACCTCCTCCACTCATTCAGTGCCTCACTCAAGCAAGCAGAAGAGTTGATAAATGGACTAACCTTTGTTGAGCAACATAAAAGC